ATGTAGCCCAGTGATAAACTGAGGTTATGGTAGTTACTATTTGTTAAGGTTAATTTTACATAGTTCAAAATAAGATACAAGTATATTAAAAGTAAATTATTGTTTATTCAAACATACATTGGTGAACAACTAAGTGTTTAGTATTCTTCTTTCTGAAAGAAATACATTGGCATTTTTCTTCACCTTAATAGTTGAATAATATAAAGGTCACTATGGAGTAATTACCTTATTTGATGATTAAAACTATTGTTGTTAGTGAGCTACTGTGTAAATATTGTAACTGAAAGAAGCAGTGTGACGTAAGCTGCACTGCGCATTTTCTGATCTCACCATTTTCATTGGCAGTGGGGACAGTTTGTCCGGTGCGGGACTGGGGATTGGTGGGGAGGAGGGGAAGGCGGGAGCAAGGGAGAGAGTGGTAAGGGTGGAGAACGGAGGCGGACGAGGAGAGACAAAAAGAGGAATAAATAAGAAAGGAAAAAAGACAGACGAAAAGGAGAGACAAAGGGACAACAGGACGAAAGGGCACGGAAGTCGGGAGAAGTTGAAGGAGTTCAGTTGACGCTGGAGGGACGAGCCAAGAGGGGACCGGAGCAAGTGGTCGCGACGGACTTCGGGCTAAGCTAAGTGGGCTAACGCTTTAGCGCCACGATCCTGCGGCAGCCGTTGAGCCCCTGCGAAGTTGAGAGGAGGGAGGCATCTCAGCGTTTCCTATGTTTTCCCCGAATTGCACCGCTCTCAAATTGTTTCTTTCCTTCGTCCTCCCTCTGGGATTTCAACATCTACGCCTCGTTGGTCACAGGCCTGCAACGTTGGGTTTTCTCCGGGTTTTTCCCATTTTCCCACCACCATTTGGAGGTCGTGAGTAGAACTGACTGTTCAGGACGATATACTAACTTGGACATTGCTTGTGAACATTAATTGTTTAGTTGGCCTGCCTTATGTGCTGCCTTATGTGAAAATTATTTGTTTTTTTTTTTTTTGTTTTGTTTTCCCTAAATCTTAAAAGTGTTCACAGCTTACAGTTCAACTGGTGATTAACAGTGAGGGTTCCCTGTCACCTTAGTTAATAAAGTGAAGCTGAGTAATTTTGCCTGAATTTCCATTTCTCTGGGTCATATTTGTTACAAACCAGGTCAGTGGTATTGTCTACATAATGGTGTACCTCATTGATGTCGAACCCAAGCACCCACCATTTTAGTTTCTTTCTCATAGAGTGGTTTAAGGTGCTACATTTACATTCTAAAATAGTAGATATTCACACACAGTTGGATCTCTGTCCTCATCACGGACATCAGGACGTTCCTGAAGAGTCTGA